GGCATCTGGTCCCATCACTTCATGGCATACAGATGGGGAAACAATGGAAACAGTGACAGACTTTAATTTCTTGGGCTCAAAATCACTGCAGATGGTGACTGTAGCCATGAAACTAAAAGATGCATGCTCCTTGGAAGAAAAGCTATGACAAATCTAGACAGCATATTAAAAAGCAGAGACATTACTTTGCCAACAAAGATCCGTCTATTCAAAGCTATGGTTTTTCCAGTAGTCATGTATGGATATGAGCGTTGGACCATAAAGAAAGCTGAGCACCAAAGAATTGATGCTTTTGAACTGTGGCACTGGAGAAGACTCTTGAGAGTCCCTTGGACTGCAAGAAGATCAAACCAGTCAATCCTAAGGAAAATAAACCCTGAATACTCACTGAAAGGACTGATGCTAAAGCTGAAGCTCCAACACTTTGGCCACCTGATGCAAAGAACTGACTCACTGGAAAAGACCCTGATGCTGGGAAAGACTGAAGGCATGAGGAGAAGGGGACAAAAAGGATGAGATGGTTGGATGCCATCACCGACTCAATGGACATGAGTTTGAGCAGGTTCCAGGAGCTGGTGAAGGATGGAGAAGCCTGGCGTGCTGCAGTCCATGGGGTTGCAAAAAGTCAGCCATGACTAAGCAACTGAACTGAACTGAACTGGTGATACAGCTACTCTTTCAAGAAGTAAGAGGGTATAGGGATGTAGGAACAATACTATGACTGAGAACCAGAGTCAAGGAAGCATGTCTGTGGGTAGCGGTTGGCTGTCTTTTTAGGGTAGAAGCTTTTTATTACTATAATTTATTTATTTTTGGCTGTCCTGGGTCTTCATTGTTGCACACAAGCTTTCTCGAGTTGTGGCAAGTGAGGGCTACTCTTCACTGCAGTACATGGGTTTCTCATTGTGGTGGTTTCTCCTGTTGTAGAGCACAGGTTTAGTAGTTGTGTCACACAGGCTTAGTTGCCCCTCGGCATATGGGATCTTCCTCGACCAGGGATCAAACCTGTGTACCCTGCATTGGCAGATGGACTAATCATTGGATCACTAGGGAAGTCTTAGGGTGGAGGTTTGAGTGTCCCCATAACAACGAAAGAAAGAGACTGACGGAGAGGTAGAATATAGATGCTCAACATCACTCATTATCAGAGAAATGCAAATCAAAACCACAATGAGGTACCATTACACGCCAGTCAGGATGGCTGCTATCCTATGGCTGATTCATGTCAATGTATGACAAAAACCACTACAATATTGTAAAGTAATTAGCCTCCAACTAATAAAAATAAATGAAAAAAAAAAGTGAGAAGGATTAATAATAGAGAAAATACCTCCAGGAAATAGAAGCATTGGTAAAAGCTACTGCAGTCATCAAAACAAATTACCAAGTGAACACAAATCCTAATGGGCAGTTCAAGCCGGATCTTTGGAAATCTGGGCTCACTTCAACCTAGCATTTCAACAGTTATTACAGGCCAGCAGTGCCAAGGACTCCATTGTGCATAACTGAGGAGTACTGCAGGAGGCTCCTGGCTGCAGCTGCCTCTCCCTTCTTTCTGAAATGGCAATTACTCATCATATGTCAAGTGATTAATAGCTATATAGCTTCTTAAGATCCAATCTGTGGGAAGGGCAGATTTCAGTTTGAGAACTCCAGCATTTACTATTTGTATAAACTTGAGAAAGTTTTTAGATTTCTCTCAGCCTTAGTTTCTTGAACCCTAAGACCAAAACAATGGTTCCTATGTAATAGATTTGAAGATAATAGACACCAAGTAATTAACAGTAGCTCAGTTGGTAAAGAATCTGCCTGCAATGAAGGAGACCCTGGTTTGATTCCTGGGTCAGAAAGATCCCCTGGAGAAGGGAAAGGCTACCTATTCCAGTATTCTGGCCTGGAGAATTCCATGGACTATATGGACATGTCCATGGACATGGGGTCACAAAGAGTTGGACACAACTGAGTGACCTTCACTTTCACTTTCAAAATGTCTGTTTGTGTGTGTGTGCGTGTGCGCGCACGTTCAGTCTTTGCAACCTCATGAGCTGTAGCCCGCCAGGCTCCTCTGTCCGTGGGATTTTCCAGGCAAGAATACTGGAGTGGGTTGCTACTTCCTCCTCCAGGGGATCTTTCTGACCCAGGGATTGAACCTGTGTCTCCTCCATTGCAGGCGGATTCTTTGCCACTGAGCCACCTGCGAAGCCCAGTAATTGGCTTACTGGAAACAATTCTCACTGTGGGGTGTTAGAATACTGCAATTTGCCTATTTGCTTACTTTTGAGCAATTTTTTTTTTCTTTTCATAATCACTGATATGATCCTACAGTGGTCAAATGAAGAGACCGTCACAAAATTCTGAATGACTTGAACCAGTAGAACTGTGACATTCCCCCAAAGAAGTCTAGCCTCTTGTGACACAGACATGTGTGACACAAAAATTATCCACAGTGTCCAGCTTCAAGAAGAGAACAGAAGACACATTTTCACTTAAATTTTCAGATGCTGAAGACATTAGCTTCAGGAACCTTCTTTAAGACATTGGCATCTATTTACTTATTTTCTTCAGGTTTAAATCCATTTGATCCTTTCCCAATGTGATGGCAATTATGATACTGACAAAACCATGAAATATGGAAATTTGGAGGTTAAAAAAAGTTTCATTCTCCTATTTCACTTATGATATTATTATTATAATTATCATTATAACAGTAAAGAACTCACCTGCTAATGCAGGAGCTATAAGAGATGTGGGTTTGATCCCTGGGTGGGGAATATCCCCTGCAGAAGAGCATGGTAACCCACTCCAGTATTCTTGCTTGGAGAACTTCATGGACAGAGAAGCCTGGAGGGCTATAAAGCCCAAGGGTTGCTCAGAGTCAGACATGATTGAAGCAATTTAGCACACAGCACAGTAAATACTGTATTTAGCCAGGGGTTTTGACTAGACCAATACATTAAGAATACATTTTAAATTAATTTACTCATTTATTTATTTGGATGCATCAGTAATTTGTTGCAGCAGGGAGGATCTTTGTGGGATCTTCTCAATGTGGTGCACAGACTCTCTAGTTGTGGTGTGCAGGCTTAGCTGCTCCGCAGCAATGTGGGATTTTAGTTCACCAACAAGGGATTGAACCTGTGTCTCCTGCATTGCAAGGCTGATTCTCTACACTGGGCCACCAGGGAAGTCCCAAGGATACATTTTTCATGCAACATACTGAGAATATCTAAGATTTAATTTATAAATGTCCCAGTTTTTGTACTGTCATTCCTTAATCCAGAATTCATATTCTACCAGAAAAGGCAGAACGTAACCCATAATCCCTATCTGTGGGTAATTAAATTGAATAGTGAAGAAATATGAGGTACCTTAAAGTAACAGGGCAAAGGGAGAGATCAGCAAAGTCCAAATAGGATGACTCTTTGATACAGCAGAGAAACACTTGTCAAACTTTCATGAACCTAGAGGTCAACTGGAGATCTTGTTCAAATGCATATTCTGATTCAGTAAACCTAAAGAAGGGATCTGAGGTTTTGCATCTCTAACAGAACTCCAGGTACCAAGGATGCTACTCAGTCCCACCTCACTTAAGTAGAGAGGAAGAATCCAGAGCTTAGTAATGAGCAGGGAGGGACCATGGCATGTACCCTCTAACTTAGCATCACAGAAAACATCTGAAAGCTCAATCACCAGCTACCTGCTGTTTGGAGCCCCTCACCTTCCAACAAAACAGCTCTCTGATACTTTGATGCTAAAAACCAACTTATACTTATCCATGAGCAGAAGGCATAAACTCTGGAAACATTTTTATTCTAGAAACCTGATGGACATTGATCAAGCAGCTAGAGAAGTAACCAAAAGAAAGTAATATCGCTTGTTGAGGTGAATGAGCAAAGACAAGACCAGGTACCTAACCAACTGTCTTTATCGGAACTTGGCCATTTCATACACCTGAAACTAATGTCATGTGTCAATTATATCTCAGTAATAAACAGCTAGGCCATTCCTGCACATATGCCAATGGTGAGTCCCAAGATAAATCCTTCGGGAAAATGATAACAAATCTTTTTTTTGAAATTTTTTTCTGATGGGCCTATCTGTATGAAAGAGTTCCTCTCTGCTTTCTCTAGTATAAAACAAATTCAAATTCACACTCAATTTCAATAGATTTTAATTCTATAGTAAGCAATTATTTTAGAAGAAAGCACATGAGGAAAATCCTTGACTATATGAATACCTTAAAGAGGTGGTATGCCCTAATTACTTGTAGAATTATTGGCTTCTCTGAACACAAGAATTATAGTGGAAACCAATACCCTGGTTTATCTCTTTTTAACAGTGTCTATTGTTCTTAGAATTTTTTCTAAAAGCAGTCACCCCCCCTTAGGCAATGAAGGCAGACTAGCAGCCCCCAACTGCTTTCATGTGGTCAGAGGGAGCACACATCCTCTGATGACCTCAGGAAGGATTATCAAAGGTGTACTGTGAATGAAGATGTTTACTCAGCAGTGAGCTAGCATACATATTTAGGCATTTTATCTTCAACAGCTAAAGAGACTGTCAGAAGCCTCATTTCCTGGCTAGATGATAAGCATCCTGTTCTAAGCGTGGACAAATACACAGCACATCATTTCAATTGTGGCATGAGTGATGGCTGTAAGTATGACAGCTGACAGCTTCACTAAACCGTTATTCTTGGAAACAAGGCAATGTATACACTCAGAGAAGAAAATTTTGCGAGCTAGGTGTTTACATCTGTATTTGCCACCTGGGGAGAAGAGCAGATTTACTTTCAGAACAAGTGTAAGTAGAGAAGTCTTTGCAATTTTACAATGGAGTGGCCCATGCTTTTGTTTCTTTCAAGTCATTTGTTTTGTTTTCTGGGTATCTTCATGTAAAACGAGACAAAAGGCTTTTGCAAATTTATCTTCTTAAACTGTAACCATCCTCTGGGCTAAAGAGTTGNTTCTGGGTATCTTCATGTAAAATGAGACGAAAGGCTTTTGCAAATTTATCTTCTTAAACTGTAACCATCCTCTGGGCTAAAGAGTTGTTGCAATTGCTTCAGAAATGGAAGTCCTGGTTTATATCCGTGGGTGCTGTAGATCTGAAGGCGCTTCAGCCCAGTGGCACCTACGCCTACTTGTCTTCGTCCCGCTGATAAGTAGCAAAGCACCCGGGGGGAGAGGCAGGGTCCGGCTGTCTGAGAAGCTGGAGTTACGGTTCCCTGTGAGGCCCATTCATCCTGTCACCAACATGATGCCTTATTCAGACCTCCCGGGCAAAAATAGATCTTTACTTGAGCTGGGAATGCAGGGAATGGAGAGGTATAGAGCGACGAGTTTCAATATTCCAGCTCTGTCTGTGAAAACAACTCCCTGTCTGCAGGTAACCTTGGTCAGGCTCAGTCACTTAAACTGCAGGGAATTGATCCACCTTCCCTGTCAATCAAGTGAACAACCACTTTTTAAGATAACGAGGGACACAGACAAAGACAGCAAATTAACTTGAAACAGATATATCGGGTTGAACCACCACTGATGGCATTTGGATAGGGAACAAAATACTGAATTATAAGCACATTCTCCTTTATATTTTTATTTAAATCCTATCCTTCTGATTTTTTTAAATTGGAGTACAATTTCTTTACAATGTTAAGTTTCTGCAGTAAAACAGCATGGATCAGCTATATGTATACATATATTCCCTCCCTCTTGAGCCTCCCTCCTACCCCCATCTCACCCATCTAGATCACCAGAGAACACCCAGCTAGCTGAACACCCCACGCATACAGCAGGTTCCCACTAGCTAGCTAGTTCATACACAGCAGTGTATATATGTCAATGCTGCTCTCCAGTTGGTCTCATCCTCTCCTTCCTTCACTGTGTCCACAATACACAAGCAGCTCATGCAGCTCAATATCAGAAAAACCAAACAACTCAATCAAAAAATGGGTAGAAGACCTAAACAGACACTTCTCCAAGGACAATATACAGATGACCATCAAACACATGAAAAGATGCTGAACCTTGCTCATTATTACAGAAATGCAAATCCGTACTACAAGGAGGTATCAGCTCACACCAGTCACAATGGCCATCATCCAAAAATCTACAAAAAAATAAATGCTGGAGAGGATGTGGCGAAAAGGGAACCCTTTTTCACTGTTGGTGGGAATGTAAATTGATACAAACACTATGGAGGACAGTATGGAGGTTCCTTAAAAAACTAAAAATAAAACTACCATCTGATCCAGCAATCCTACTCCTGTGCATATATCCTGAGAAACCATAATACAAAAAGACACACCAGTGTTCACTGCAGCACTGCTTACGATAGACAGGACATGTCAATGTCCATTGACAGATGAATGGATAAAGAAGTTGTGGTACATATATACAATGGAATACTAATTGACCATAAAAAAGAATGAAATTGGGTCATTTGTAGTGATGCAGATGAACCTAGAGTCTGTCATACAAAGTGAAGTAAGTCAGAAAGAGAAAAACAAATATTGTATACTAGTGCATATATATGGAATCTAGGAAGACGGTATTGATGAACCTATTTGCAGGGAGGAATAAAGATGCAGATGTAGAGAACATCTGCCTTTTTTTAAAAAAAAAGTGGCAAGTTTTGAAACAAATAGCCAATTTTAATTGATAATGATTTACTGTATCATGTAGCTTTTCCTAGGATATGGCTATTAAATTAAAACTCACAGTTGCACAATCACCTTTTCTTCATTACTCTCCAACAATCTTATAAGGATTTCTGACTTCCCAACTAGATTATATTTGGGCAGCAATAATGTCATTTTGTTCATGACTTAGGGTTAATCACAAGCTCTCGGTGCTACCCATGAGCTCAACATGAATAGAGAGCTGGGGAAGGATTATAGTCCAGCTTCCAAGAAATCCTCCTCGCGGTCTTGTGCCATTATCTATCTCCCTAGTCACTCTACTCCTTACTGCTCACCATGCTCAGCTGGATTGAACTAGGAGCTTAATGGGGACTTGGGGTGAGAAGGAGAAGGTGAGGACACTTTGTACCCTTGCCTTACCTTATGGATGCTGGCCCCGGTGTTGTATCACCAACTCATTTGCCCTGCTGCTCTTAGCTCTGAGATCTAGGTTACAGTAACCTTCCCTGGAGTTTAAATTTCTGCTCCTTTATTTTCATAAAATTGAAGTATCTCTGCATAGTGATTCTTGGTACAGCCATTTATTTTGTAATTATGGTATCACTGATCATTACTATTTACTGAGAATGTATTAACTAATTAGTGCTCTAAGTAGACTACCTAATTAAATCTATTCAAAACCCCTATGTGATAGGTATTGGTCCCAAGAGGGACTTCAGGAAATTGAAGCCCAGAGATCTTATCTAACTTCATATAACTTTTAAGAGAAGGAGGGAGTATTTGAAACTGGGTAGGTCTGACTACAAAGTCTGTGCTCTTGATGTGGGAGTCATGAATATCTGCCACTGATTCTCATCTTGGAAAATAGGGCATCTCTGTGTTCGTTAGACTGTATGGTTCTGAATAAACCGCAGACAAACTGAGGTAGAGGAACCAATAGAGCTGTCATTTGTTCCAGGGACAGCTAAAATACTACTATTAAAAAAAAACTGTTCATCGATTCAGGGACAAAAAAGGCTCATATATGTAAAAACCAAAAAAGAAAAAAAGAGAAGCAACCGAATATCAATTAAGAGATCAACCATAAATGAATAAGTAGATAGGGTAGAGCCATGTGATAGGATATTATATAAGAGTGAAAATAACTGAAGTACAACTACATGTAACAATGTGAATGAATCTCAGGGATTAAAGGTTAAACAAAAAAAAAGCTATTGCATAAAAGGACACAGTATGAGATTCCATTTATAAAGTTCTTTGACATGCAAGACTAAGTGATGTAATACGACTTCCCTGGTCATACAGTGGATAACAAGTCACCTGCCAATACAAAGTACATGGATTCGATCCTTGATCTGGGCAGATTCCACATGCAGTGGAGCAATTAAGCCCTCGCACTGCAACTCCTCAGCTCACATGACACAGCTACTGAAGCCCAAGCACCCTAGAGCCTGTGCTCAGCAACCAGAGAAGCCACGGCAATGAGAAGCCCATGCACCACAGCGAGAGAGTGGCCTCCGCTCACTGCGACGAGGGAAAGCCCACTGGCAGCAGAGAAGACCCAGTGCAACACAGAATAAAAATGAATGAATGAATTATTGATGAATTAAAAATAAATAAATGCTATAACCAGGGAATAATAACACAAAATTAAAGTCAGGACAGGGATGGGCTGTGAAGACAGAAGTGGAAAAATGAGATCTTAGAAGGACTTCAGAAAACCGCAAAGTTCAATCAAGTGTTCTTAAACTTGGTGATGGGTATCCAGGAACACTGCATAACTATACTTTTAAATTTCTTGTGTGTTTTTTTAATTTTAGCAAAATATATGAAATACAGAATTTTAACAATTTTTAAGTATAGAGTTCAGTAGCATTAAGCATACTCCCACTGTGTGACAATCATCACCAGATAAGAACTATTTTGTTAATAAAATATTAGATTAAAAGAGTTTGTAGCCATAGCTGCTGATACTTATATAAACTTCACATATATCTTTGGCAGATTTTACATGACTGTAAGAAAATGTCTCTTATTTTGCAGTGAGAAATTTGATTTTTGTTGCTGGGAAAATACATTGGGTTAATCTGGAGGAAATTAATATATTAATAATATGTGGAGGAAGGTTGAGATGTTTTATCTGAAATAAATAAAAAGAAGCAACATATTTTCAATGGGATCCAAAGGCTCGGTTCTATCTGCTACGTGTTGGGTCGATCGTAAAGCAAATTTTAAGTCAAATAGTCTTTTTATTGCATTAATTAAATTTCATCTCTCTTTCTAATTATTATATTGCCCAGTATTAAAAAAAAAAAAAAGTATGACAGTTGCATCAGTATACTTCCAAATACACAAAGTTAGAAATGGCAAGTCACTGTTTTATTAATGTTTTCCATAATTCCAGCTGTCCATGTGTTAAGTGAACAGCAAAGATAAATAGCAGTTATATCCTATTTCCCATGGAGTTATATCCCATTTTCTATCAGCTCACACTTTTGAGTACTATTGATTTCAAGTTTTTCTCCAATGCTAGCATTTCAGACTGAAGTTTAGCAATCTCTTGCTGCAGTTATTCATTTGCTCCCTGTACCTGCTGCAGCATGACTTGGTCATTGTTTAAATGCATTTGTAATTTCAGAAACTGAAAGCAGGAAAAAAAAGGGAGTGGGGCTGTTTTAGGCAAGAATTCTGTTTTATAATAAAAGAAGTCATTGAAAGCTGATTATGTAACAAATCCATCAAGGCTGCAAAATTCCACCAGAGAATGAAGCATGATGGGAATTTTCAAGTCAGATATAATTTCTTTTCTGCCTGCAGGAGTTCTTTGTTAAAAAGCAATATATTAACTCATTAAAAAAAAAAATCTGGCAAGACTTCAAAAAAAGTAGCTTAATCTGCTACATTTTATGACATTTTATAGCCAATTTGTGTTTTAACAAGTTCATTCATTTAATCATTACAATAGATTATCTGATACATTCCTCTTTTATAAACTAGATTTTTCCCTCATGAAGTACAGTTTGTTTAGATTTTCTTTAGAGCTCAATTTCTTTATAGGATAATTCATAAATATTCACATTGTACAATTTTGCATTACACATTTATTATAAAAGGCTCAGCCAACAATGTACCATGAATAATAATGATGGCACACTTTGCTGGTTCTGCCGCTTTAGGATTTTAATTAACAGCAAGCACATGGCACTTACAAGGCAGCATACAGATGATTTGTGAGGAACGACAGGGTGAAGTAAATTAAAATTGTAAATAACAGTTTCATCGTCTAAATACCTGTTTCACTGAATTCTGAGAGGCAGCGGGGGCCAGTGGAATTATTTGGATGATATAGCCAGATTTCTGTTTTCTCAGTTGTAAGCCATAAATGAAAATATCATCAACTAACTTAACTGCACAAAGAAATGAAACACCAGGTATACTATCTAAATCTAGTTATAATTTGTTGGGAGCATTCACTTACGCATTTTCTGGAAATTCATTTGTAGGGAATACATATAGACCTGATTTGATAATGCTATACACAGTGCTGATTGATTAAGTTTCTATAAATCTCTGAAATATTTTCTTTTAAAAAGTAACAGGTAATGGGAATACATGTAATGCTCACATCCATAGTATACATTACAATAAACTATGCATAGAGATGTCTCTCCTCCTCCCCACCCAAGTTCCTGGTGCCTTCTCAGTCAGTGAGATCTAGCCAACAAACTGTATTGTTCACATATTTCCTGGCTAAAGAGTATTAGTTCACCATACTGCAAAGGTCCTCAACCAAAGAGT